TTAGGGCGCTGCGAAACCTCGACTCCTCCCTTCCCCTGGCAACAAAATTGCCAAGGTCTTGGAGCAAGCGAGTTCGGGGACCATGGTATTTGCGAGGGTTTTGGAACCGGCGAATTCGGGGACCATGGCATTCGCGAGGGTTTTGGAACCTGCGAATTCGGGGACCATGGCATTTGTGGGGGATTTAGAACCAGCGATTTCGGGAACCATGGTATTTGCGACCAGCGAAGCGAGGGTTTCGGAACCAGCGAATTCGGGGACCATGGTATTTGCGATGGTGTTGGAACCAGCGAATTCGGGGACCATGGTATTTGCAAGGGTTTTGGAACCACCTTAGGGCTAAATAGCCCTAAACCCTAAACCCGACAACCCTAAAGCCTACACCCTAAACCCTGAACCCTGAACCCGAAACCCTACACCCTAAACCCTTAGGTTTTTGAAGAAATAGCAAGCCTAGGGGGGTTCGTTCTGGGGCCGCCGCTGCGCCCGTGGACCAGCTTGGCTTGGAGCAAGAGAACTCAACCTCCCCAAGGATGTGGGTTTAGGGTTTAGGGTTTAGGGTTTAGGGTTTAGGGTTTAGGGTTTAGGGTTCAGGGTTCAGGGTTTGGGAGAACTCAACCTTCCCAAGACTGTGGAGAGGGAGCTTCGAAAAGGGGTCTATATTTAGGGTTTACTAGGGTTTAGGGTTTAGGGCTAGGGTTTAGGGTTTTGGGTTTAGGGCTTCGGGGGTTTAGGGTTCGGGATACCCAACATAGGACGGGCTTGGGGCTCTTGGGTGCTTAGGGCTTAGGGGTGTTGAGGGCTCCTAGGCCCTAAACCCTAAACCCTAAACCCTAAACCCTAAACCCTAAACCCTAAACCCTAAACTGCCCTAAACCCTAAACCCTAAACTTAGGCTTTGGGATGTTTTGGCTACGGGTTAGGGCTTGGATGTTCAGGGTTTGAGGAGTGGCACCCCTAACCGCCCTTACCCCTACAAAAAAGGTTGTATGCAGGCTCCTCCGGCCCTGAGGGGCTGAATGCCCTATCGCAAAAAAAGTGAACCTTTTGCTTGTAAAAGGATTAATTATATATTTATATGTACATATAGCCAAAAAGGTTAGAGGTTAACTACTCAACCCCTCAGGGCCGGGGTTGAGCCCTGTGCATGGTAGCTCGAAGTCAGACTGCATGGTGGGATCTTGCTTCCTCTCCACGTTGCCGCCAAGCGACCAAAGTCTGCAAACAAAGCAACATCATGCACAAGAGTAGGCACGCTCAGCATGTCGATGTCGACCTCGTGCAGCACCATGGTGGGTCCAGCAGGTCATAGAGGATCGTTGGATTCTGCACCGCGCCTGCTTTGTTGATTTCAACTGAGCCGTATAGGGTTTAGGGTTTAGGGTGTATGAGGTGTGTAGGGTTTGTAGGATTTATAGGGTTTACAGGGCTTATCCGGTTCTTATAAGGGTTCGGGGCCTGTCCCCAGGCTCCCTTTCTTCGGCTTCCCATCACAAAGCAAGACATATTGTCAGTAGGTCGCCTGCAGAACCTTTGAGAATAAACTTTAATGGTGGTTCTGCATACCAGAAGCAAGAGGCCTGAGCGTAAACACTAAACGAAATCTTATGTCCTAGCCCTAAACCCTAAACCCTAAACCCTAAACCCTAAACCCTAAACCCTAAACCCCTCAAACCTCAACACCGACTATGCAAAGCGGCAGGTGGCAAGAAGTGGCCTCAGCCTGTCCTGAAGAAGTCTTCACCTGCCACCAAGAATCTAAACCCTAAAACCCTTGAAACCCCCAAAAGAAACCTAAACCCTACCTGCGACTCCCAAAACCCTACAAAATCGTAGGTCATAACCCCTCAAATATCGGGCATAACTCCCAAAATAAGAGGTAAATGGAGCCCTATTTGTCGGGTTAGGGCTGTGAGCCTTAGAACACGGGATCTGGTGTTGAGGGGTTTCGGCTGAGGGCCAGGGTACCGTGCTGCTGCGCATGTGGGGCAGAGGAATTTATGGCGTAAGGATTGGTGGTTGAGGGTTTGCGGTTTCGGTTTCATTTCAGGCGAGTCTACACGCCATAATCAAGAAAGGGAGCACGCAGTGGCGTCGCGGAGACTTGGGCCTAGGCCGTCCAGAAATTTTGTTCAACCCAAAACCCTAAACCCCAAACCCAAACCCGAAACCTACTTCAGAGACATCGACTATAGCTTAGGGCTTGGTGTACTTCGCGCAAGACATGAAATCCAAGAGGCTGTTGGTCAACACGCCTGTTCCCAAAATGGCCGACCGCACCTTCCCCTTTGAAAAACCCATAGGAACCCGAGCGGTTCAGGGTTTCGGGTTTAGGGTTTAAGGTTGAGGCTTTAGGGTTTGGGGTTTAGGGTTTCGGGTATACTTCGATCAACGCCCAGTATGTTTGGAGCTTCGCCGGTGGCATGTCTGGCGAGCACGCCCGTGCCGCTGGCAGCATTCTCAGTTCATGCTCGGAGGTTCACAGGTACTTCAACAATCCTAGACCCTGGGGGGTGGGGGCTTTTAGGGTTTAGGGTTAGGGTTTAGGGTGACCCAAGAGTATCCCACGAGGAAGAAGGGTGCCCATTTTGGTTTATCGGGGCTTCTAAGGGAGCCTAAACCTTGAAAAAAGGGAAGAAGGGCCTGCTCTCCGGATTCTTGAAGTAGGTTTAAATGTACTCTAAATATGGTTGTAACCATATAGAGACCCTACGTAGAACCCTACTCGCCTAAACCCTAACTAAACCCTAAACCCTAAACCCATGAACCGCCATAAGTCGGCGTCTTGTGGCCGATGAAACGGCCTGGTGCCTCTGCTCTGCGCTCGGTGGCTGGGTGCCTACTCGGCGGCATATGAAGGAAAGATGTTTCTGAAACCTAAACCCTAAACCCCAAACCCTAAACCCTAAAGCCTGAACCCTAAACCCTATACTCTATTACTCTAAAACCCTAAGACCAAACCCTGCAGCGAGCTAGCGTCAAAAGCCCCACCAGCAGCATGACATTACGGCTGTGTGTCTGGAGAGCAACGCAAATTTCGACAAAAACCCCAAACCCTGCAAACCCTGACAGTTTTAACGCCATGAACTTCCTAATTAATGAGGGATACCCTTTTGTCATTTTATTTTGTTGAGGGGGGGGTTCTTGCAAAGTACGGAATACACATTTGGGGCATCCCTATGTAACAATGGGAAAAATGTACGGGTCGGAGCAGATACGTGCTATGCTTCACGTGCGCGGAACAGAGCTCCCAGGCTACATAAGTGGCATTAACTCAAATGTCTCCTCAGCAGGGGTTCCAAAAGTGGCAATTGGGCTCCAACGCCTGCGCTGCGGCGTAGGTGTCGGCAATCAAGTCCGATGCGGTTCTTCCCAACCCGCTGTTGTCGCCCGAAAGCTCCTCCTTGCAACATGCTGCGTCGCTGACGCAGTCCGCATAAATCTGCAGGCCTCGGCAACCGGCATTGACGTCGATGGCACAAGTGGCAAGCTGGATGGAATCACACCCGCAACCGTGAAGTGTTACTGCCATTAGGCATGCAATGGCCGCAAGTGTCTTTGCAGTCATGGCGGGCATAGCAAGGGCTACAGCACATGCTGGCTGGAACTCAAGCCGCTCATGCTGCCATACCTGGACCCTGAATTGCAACATGTCAGTTCCTGTTTGAAAGACTGACCAAATGGGCAACCCTAAACCCTGAACCCTAAACCCAAAAAGGCTACAAGTAAGGAGCCCCCAAATGCACCCAATAAAGCACATGTCCGCCTGAGGCCTTCGGAGGCCCAAAGGGTTCTGATCTTGGGATGCTCCCCCTTATACTAGCAGCTTTTAATGGGGTGTAGGGTTTATAGGGTTTAGGGTTTGGGGAGTGCTTAGGGTTAGGGCAAAACAGCCTACGCACCCAAATATCACAACGCCAGCCCCTAACATCTGCCCTTCGGCCAAGACCCGAAGTCGTCACACGGCTTGGGCTTTAGGTGCCACAAACTGAATTATGCAACATGAGAGACCCTTAGAGACTTAAGGCCTTGGGGCCACAGCGCTACTACCACAAACCTATCCCGAAACCCTGAACACTTCACCCTGAACCCTTAACCCAAACCCCTCCTATCTCTAAACCCTAAAACGCTGAACCCTAAACTCTTCCGAACCTTATCTCCGCAGCCTATCTTTACTTGCAGGTTCATGGGCAGTTCTAAGTAGGGTTTAGGGCTCAGTGCCAAACAAATGAGGTTCTATGTAGCTGCAGGCGTGACTCGACCTGTCCTACCTATATCTTATCATGAACCTAAGTAGCCCCCTTTCCCCCTCATATTGAAATACCCTTCCCCCCCCCCCCCCCCCCCCATATACTGTAATGTCAACTATACTTGGGAGTATTTAATATTTCGGGTGGGGGGGGGGGGGGTGGATATTTGGGGGAAGGAATTATAAGCCTATATTTCATAACCTTCTGAACTTCTTTGGAATTGGTTCTATCAAAAATGATCATGCTTAGTCCCAATTATTGGGTTATCCTAACAAGAAAAGGAAAACTTAAAGCCAACAAGGACCCAGCAATGCAGAAGTGGGGTTTGGGCTCAACCCTGAAGGCCGCGTTTTGCTCCCGCGCGCTCGCGCCCGCGCGCTCGGCGCGGGCTCCTGACACGCACCACGGGGACGAGACAAAGCCTGAACGGGCTGACCCCTTAACCCTAGGGTGTAGGGCTTATAAGATTATAAGCGTTTATAAGATTATAAGGGTTTAGGGCATATAAGATTATAAGGGTTTATGGGACTCCTTCAACTCAGAATGTGGAGGCTTCATGATACGGGTGGGACGCTGAACCCTCACGCCCTGAACCCAGAACTCCTAAAACCCGACCTCGAAATCCATAAGAACCCTACGAAACCCCCAAAACGCTGAAACACCAACAACTAATTTAATTATAGAAACCCTGAAGCCCTGAAATAAAGCTTGAAATGGCTAAAGCCTTACACCCTAAGGCCGGCTTTGCCCTCACTTCTTCCAGCGGCGTCCGCGGGGTTCGGCGAGCGCGACGGTGCGGGCCTGGGAGGCGTCCGGGTTCAGGGGCTTTGGGGTTCAGGGGTTTAGAGTTTAGGGTTTTGTGGTTCGGGGTTTGGTAGGGTTTAGGGTTGTAGCGGGTTAGAGGTTTAGGGTTTAGGAGCTCAGCGGTTCAGGGGGTTTGGGTGTATTTAGTGGCGGGTTGTAGGGGTTTAGCATGTATGGCTTTCGGGTATGGAGTTCAAAGGGCTTAGTGTTTAGAGGGGTCCCCTGCGTGCGGAATTCATCAAATATAACTTTGGGGGACGAGAGAGATCAGATCCGATCAGCTGAGATCAAATCCTGATCGGCTTGATCATTAAAGATTGAAAGTTCCAAGAAAACGAGGATGGCCCTTAAAGAATTTCAGAATAAAATATCCCTAAATATGGTCCTCTTAAACCCTTTAAAGGGAAAATATTACCATGTCCCAAGAAACCCTAAACCCTAAACCCTAAACCCGAAACCCTAACTAAATACCTAAAAAAGGTATTTGGGGATCTTCAACCTTCAATCTCCACTACGTGGAGGGGGAACAGATGATCAGCTCAGGTCTCCGGAAGTTGGGGTTTAGGGTTTAGGGTTTAGGGTTTAGGGTTTAGGGTTTAGGGTTTAGGGTTTAGGGTTTAGGGTTTAGGGTTTAGGGTTTGGGGTTTACGGTTTAGGGTTTAGGGTTCCCGCAGAGCAGCAGATCCTAACTGGGGGTCCCCACCCCCCGAGCTGCCACGGTGAGCTGGCTCGGGGAGATGTAGCACATGCCCACCTCACCGCGGCTGAGGGCTTTTTTAGTTTGAAGGGGATGGTGGCGATTTCGTGTCTGAGGTCTCGAATGGGCATGCTTGCAGTTGGGGTTTAGGGTTTAGGGTTTAGGGTTTCGGGTGTAGGGTGTAGCGTGCGGGGTGCAGGGTGTAGAGGGCCTAATGATTCTCAGGCCGAGACGCTGGACCGTAAATATCTTGGCTGGATTGTTGCTGTGTGTTTCGGATACGGGGACGATAAGAAACACAGTGGCTGTGTAGATTAGAAAGCCTCAGGTTCTTAGGCTAAACCCTAAACCCTAGACCCTAAACCCTAAACCCTACACCTTAAACCCTAAACTCTAAACCCTAAACCTTAAACCCAAACCCCCTGTAAACCCCCATAAACCCTATAAACCTTGTAAACCCTAAACCCCTATAAACCCGATAAGCCCTATAAACCCTATGAACACTCTACAAAGACCAAAATACACCCTGTAAACCCTAAACCCGGTACATGGCGTTTAGGGCTGGGAAGAGGATTTCTGATAGCCTCGCCCTGGTCAAAAAACAGCGCTGAGCTTCCACGGTTTCACCCGAAGCCCGAAGCTGTAAATTCCGAACCCTAACCCCTGAGTTGCGGGCGCCACCAGATGTTGAGGTTTAGGGTTTAGGGTGTAGGGTTAGAAAGTATATAAGGGCTGCGGCTACAGGGCTGTCGAAGAACCGGCTGAAGGGATGAAAGGGGTTCAGGGTTTCAGAATTTAAAGAGTTTCAGCCAATACGCACCAAAGAAACACAAACCCCAGCTACGCAGGACGAATCAAGCTACACACCGCCTGAACCACCCTGAGAGATTCGCAGCCCAACCCCAGCTACGCAGGACAAACCAAGCTACACACCGCGTGAACCACCCTGAGAGATCCGCAGCCCAACCCCAGCTACGTAGGACAAATCAAGCTACACGCCGCGTGAACCACCCTGAGAGATCCGCAGCCCAACCCCGCAACCCTTAACCGTGAAACCTTTATTTATACCTGGGCCTCTATTTACCTACAGTTGTAGTAATTACCGCATCCTAACCCCTCCCCCTACCTTAGGGGCTGAAAACCCTAGCCCAAAAAAGGTTAACCTTTTATTTGTAACAGGACTGAAAGTATCCAAAAAGGTTAAAGGTCAACTACCCAGCCCCTAAGCTACACCGTCAACCGGCCGCGCCTGGTAGTCGGCATAGCCACCTTCCCGGTTGTGGCGGACTCCGCCGGTGGGCCTTTGTGGCTTTCAGAGGAACCCTAAACCCTAAACCTTAAAATTAGGGTTTTGAGGGCGTTTAGGGTTTGCAGGGCTAGGAAGGGTGTTTAGGATGTGAAGGGGGTTTATAGGGTTTAGAGTGCGTGGATTTGGGTTTTGGGGTTTAGGGTTGAGCAAGGGTTGGGAAAAATCAAATGTTGTCTTGACTGGGGTCGCTTTTGGTGTCCGTTCATAAGGAAGCCTTCTGTTCAAAGGAGCAACAAGGGGACTCTAGTCACTAGTTTTTAACAACTCCCAAAAGGGTTCGGGTTCAGGACTAGAACTCAAGTTTTGTGATGTTTAAGACCATGTCGTACTCGAGTCTGCTGGTGCTCAGGGTTCCAACCGCTTTAGGGGTCGGGGTTTATAGGGGTTTAACTTCACTTGCCACATGAGCCAACAAGGGGCAGCCCTAAACCGTAAACACCAAACGTCGCACGATGCGCCCGTAAACCCTAAACCCTAGACAACCCTACAAATTCAAGGTCCCAGAATAAACGGCCACCATGTCAAGCCCCAAATGTCGAGCTCTTAGAGAACACCAGTGCTAGTCGAGAAAGCACCCTGCTATGGGCCTTAAAGCCTGAATCCTAACCAAACCTCGGGGACCAAATGAACCCTAAAATGGTGTATGGTTCACACTACCTTAAAATGGTATTATAGTACCAGGATGGGCTATTCGGCCCTGTAATCCCCATAATCAACGCTCTACAGGGCATTATTTAGGGGTCATAGGGAAAATTAGCCCATGTTGGACTTATAACCCCCATAAGAACTGCATTTATAAGCCCCCTAAGTCCCCCAGTAGGCTACAAGTAAGGTTGTACTAGGGTCATAAGCACCCATGAACCTCCAAGTAGGGTATCTGACCCCAAGTTTAGGCTTCATTCCCTAAACCCTAAACCCTAAACCCTAATGGTGCTTAAGGAACAAGGACCATCCTCCGAAGCCTTTGGTGGAAGCTCCAAGTCCAACTTTGTCTAGAAAGGGTTTAGGGCTTACGGCTAAGGGTTTAGGGTATAGGGTTCAGGGTTTAGGTTCCCCAATGAAAACCTAGCCCATGGGAAATGCGGGTTTCCAAACCCTACACCCCAAACCCTCTCTAAGCAATAAACCCTAAACCCTAAACCCTAAACCCTGAACCTTAACATTGCCCTAAACCGTACCCCTTAAACCTTTGTGTTGCCCTAAATTCCTAAACCTTAACATTGTCACATTGTCCGCGCAGCGGGTTGCGCTTGTGCTGAACGGAGCGCTTCTGCATGTAGAGCCTCGTTGGGGAGCTCAAAGAAAGTAGGGTTTAGGGTTTAGGGTTCAGGGCTTTGGGTTCAAGCTTTAAGGTTTAGGGTCGATGGGTAGGTGTGTTTAGGGTTTTCTGGGAGGTCATCGCATGCATGAACTTTCCGGCAGTTAACCTCCCTCCCCTAAGAACCCTCTGGAAGGACTGGCCTCGTATTCTGGTTCGGTAGGCTCTTGGAAGCCCTATAGCCCCTACTTTATAGTGTTTAGGTTGTAGGGCTCCAAACTGGCCTAAACCCCTTTTTTTTTTTTTTTTAATATTGGGGTTGCCGCAAACAGATATATGGTGCAGCGTCGCTGCCCCCCCCCCCCCCCCCATGCCCCCCCCCCCCCTGCCCCCCCCCCCCCCCCCCATGGCCCCCCCAAAGTCTTTCCCCGCCCCGCCCCTCTGTGGTTTGGGCCCCCCTGTGGGGTGGTGCGGTTGGGGTTTGGGTTTAGGGTTTAGGGTTTAGGGTTTAGGGTTTAGGGTTTAGGGTTTAGGGTTTAGGGTTTAGGGTTTAGGGTTTAGGGTTTAGGGTTTTGGGGTTTAGGGTTCGGCCGGTCCACACGAACAGTCAAATAACGCCGTGGCCTTATAACACACAGGCAAAAATAGCACCAGGAATCCCAGTCAATTTTAGCATTTACCGGGTGCTTCTTTTTGTGGGTCTGCTGGTGGTGACTGTTAGTCACATAGCAGCAGAAATAGCACCAGAAATAGCACAAACAATAGCACAAAAAATAGCACCAGAAACAGCGCCAGGAATAGCACAAAAAATAGCACCAGAAATAGCACAAACAATAGCACCAGAAATAGCACCAGGAATCCCAGTCAATTTTAGCAGCTTAGCATTTACCGGGTGCTGTTTTTTGTGGGTCTGCTGATGGTGATTGTTAGTCACATAGCACCAGCAGCAGCACCAGAAATAGCACCAGAAATAGCACAAACAATAGCACAAAAAATAGCACCAGAAATAGCACAAACAATAGCACAAAAAATAGCACCAGAAATAGCACAAAAAAATGCACCAGAAATAGCACCAGGAATAGCACCAGGAATAGCAGGAATCTCAGTCATTTTTTTGGCATTTACCGGGTGCTTTTATTTGTGGGTCTGCTGGTGGTGACTGTTAGTGTGGACCGGCCGAACCCAAGTTTAGGGTTTAGGGTTTAGGGTTTAGGGTTTAGGGTTTAGGGTCCACGCCCCCTGGTTTGGGGCCCCCTGTGGGGTGGTGTGGTTGGGGTTTGGGTTGAGGGTTCAGGGTTCAGGGTTTAGGGTTTAGGGGTTTAGAGGGTTTAGGGTCTAGGGTTTAGGGTTTAGGGGGGGGTGAGGGGGGGATACCATGGGGGGGGGGGGGTACCGACACGGGACACGGAACCATATATATGGGGGGTTCCCGAAAACAGAATAAGGATCATCGTATGTTGGGGTTACATTCGGGCTCGCCATATTTTGGGCACCAGTAAACCCGAACAAACCCCAAAATGGGCCCCAAAGCCCAAGAACAACATCCAAAGCCAAAATGCTGAAGCCTCCATGCTACAAACCAGACAGCACCATGCTTCGGGCTTGGGATTTAGGGTTTAGGGTTTATGGTTCAGGGTTTAGGGTGTAGTAAACCCTGAGCTTGGAGGAGGGGATTGATTTAAGGCCGCGGCTGCACGAAGCCCCCCTGGCCGTGGTACTCGTCGTAGTACGCGTGCGAGGGCTTCAGTATCGCCTCGCCAGAGGGACAGAAACGAGGCCCAAGAGTAACCTAGGAATAGGGTGGGGTTTAGGGTTAGGGTTTAAGGTTTAGGTTTAAGGTTTAGGGTTTAGGGTTACGGGTTTAGGGTGACCCAAGAGTAACCTAGGAATAGCAAGGGGTGCCCTTTTTGGTTCAAAGGGGCTTATACAATGGAACCTAAACCTTTAAAAAAAGGAATAACGGCCTACATCGGCCTACGCAGGGTCCTAGGACCTCAAATTAAAGTAGGTTCTTCTCTGTCTGAAGAATATTATTGTGAATATGGTTGTAAGTATTGAAGGCATCATGCTGCATAAGAATTAGATAGTATAGGGTATATAGGGATATGTAGGGGTATAACATCCCCTCCTCGCCTGTTAAACCCCTTATAAGGGGGTTAGCATTAATTATGGGGAAGGGTTTCTTCACCATGGTTTACCACAACTTCTGGAACTCTGGAACCTCCCACCCCCAAATCTTCTCATTCCTCATCCCTACTCACGCAGCCTTTTCTCTCTTACACAGCGGCAGGCACAATCTGCAATGTTACTACGCTCCTCCGCCCCGAGAGTTCACCTTCAATTCAGCCGGAGGGCAGGGCGCATCTGATGTCCACCTCTTTCCATTTGCATCGCTCCTTGATCGTGCCATCAAACTCGAAGCACCGGCCGTCCTCAGCCAAGACGCAGGTGTCGGCTGAGTAGGCCCTCAGTGCCACCGACACTGGACGAATACCCACTGGAAGCGGCACCTGCGTCCTCGCAGCACACGCACTCAGCGCTGCACGCACCCCAATGTCCAAACCCCCAGGCGAACAGACGCCCGCGCTGTGTTATGATGATTGTCGCACGATCCACGAACTCCACATGCATAATGCTGTCGTCGTCCAGTTCATCCAGTCTCCAGAGCACTGTCGGAAGAAACAGGGCCTCTCTGTCCCGCAGGTTCAGAGTCTGACCGCAACCCCAGCCATACAGCTCCTTCTCTGTCCATGCAAGCACCGCACCGTTTGAAGCGGTCAGCCCCTGAAACCTAACGGCAGCCACCGAGGGTGCAGGGCCCCACAGGTGGCCATCAGGCGCCTCCAGCGGGTTTCCACGACCCGTCAGGTCAAACTTCGTGTCTCCACACGTGCAGTTTGCTGGGCCATCGCGCTCGCTCCAGAGCTGGCCATTCTCTGTGAGGGCAATCCGTTCTCTCTCCCGGGTGTGTGAGACAGGGGGGGACACCTGTCTCTTCTGCGCAGCAATCGCTGCCTGAACAAAACCAGTCAGAGCCATCGCAGCCAAAGCTCAGCGGGGCTGCAAACGAAAGCAGTGACTGGGCCGCTACTACACTGCTTAACTGAGCAGATATTGGGCTGCGAGTAGCTGACTTGAGCTCATTCGGGTTGGGTCGTGAGCTTCGGGGTGTAGGCTCCTGGGCTTCGTTCAGGCTCAACCCCAAATCTTCGACCTAGGATTCGGAGTGCTCCCGAAACCCTGATCCCTATACACCCTAAACCCTAAACCCTAAACCCCTTAACCCTGGGCGCTTTCCCTTTGCGTTTTCAGGGCGGGGCCTTCCGAGAAAGGCAGCTTGTGAGCAAAGCAGCGAACCCTTCACCCCAAAAGACCTGTAGGGCTTAGGGTGTATACGGTTTAGGGTTTAGGGTTTAGAGGGTGTCTGGGTTTAGGGTTCAGGGTTTAGAGGGTGTCTAGGGTTTAGGGTTGAAGGTTTAGGGAAACCCCAAACCTGAAGGTTAAAGCCCCGGACGCTTGAACTATCAGCCCAACCCGACAAAAGGAATAAAGGTCCGCTCGAGGTACCAGCTTCTAGACCGGGTTTGGGTTTAGGGTCTGGGGGTCGGGGGTTTTGGGGTTTAGGGTGTAGGGTTAGGGTTGAAGGGTGTCGGCTGCAAAAAGGTCGCACCTCGGGAAGATTCTCCCAAACCTCAGTCAGGCTGCCGTAGATACTGGGATCTCCCCAGGGAAATGGGACTTAGAAGCTCTCCCTTTTTGGTATTGGGTGCATATCTACGCCAACTTAAAGGTCCATGGGTACTTATAGGTAGGATCATGAGTGCCCTAAATAGGGTGAACCCCAGTTACCCTACTTGAAACCCTACTTCTAAGTACCCATGAACCTCCAAGTAGCCCTAAACCCTAAACCCTAAACCCTAAACCGTAAACCACCTCCAGGGAGGACCTCAAGAAAGGGGAGCTCGGGCCGACTGGGAGATCGCATAGGTCGAGTTCAAGCTAAAGAAGCCTAGGATGGCGCTTGAAAAGATATTCCTGATTGTGTTCCTCTTAGGGTTTAGGGTTTAGGGTTTGTTTAGGGTTTAGGGTTTAGGGGATAGGGGAAAAACATAAAGATCCCAAAGGGCCTACCTAGGATCTTACACCTCCACCTCGGCCACTTTACGGTTGCGCTTCTTGTGCTCGGTGATCGAATTAGTTTTGTTTGAATCTGCTGGGCAAGCGTGAGATGCTGACAGCGTCATGACGCTGCTTCGGGCTTTGGGAGAATTGGTCCCGAAGGTTTGCCAAGAGGTCCAGGAACGTACTAAGGGAGTGGGGGGGGGAGGGGCAGGGAGAAGTGGAAGGACGGCAAAAGTGGGTACTGAGGCGGCGGATCTGAGCACCAAATGCAACAATGTCCTGACCCGGGAATTCGCGTCCTGTTACCTGCAATCCGAAGTCGTACTTGAACACAGGAAGCACTGCCCTAAACCTCCAATCCCACCCTCCTGATCCCTGGGGAGGCTACGATCTGTGAAGTGTCAAACTCCACATACCTCAGCTCTGTGGTTGACATACTCTTGGTTAGTAGGGAATGAGGGAATGAGGAACCCCACGTCCCCCCTATATATATATATATATATATATACCCTTTAAGGGATTATACAGGGTACCTCATTACCTCATTCCCTACTAACTAACAGAAAGTCTGCGGTTTAGTAGGGACTCCAGGAATCAGGGTCCCTATTCAACCCTTCAAAGGGTTAGATGGGTCTAAGGGTAGTTACATGGACCCTCAATATGGTCCCTTACCCTCTTTCAAGGGTTCTGATGTATGGTCCCCTTTTAAGGGCCCGGTCATGACAGCCATACTCGGACCCCTAAGGATGTACCCCTAAGAGGTTCCCTGAATATTCTCCTACTATGGCCCTTATATTCCCTTAGAGGATCCTTAAAAGAAGGGTCCCGAAACCCAACAGGGTTTAGGGTTTAGGGTTTAGGCCCCCCACATCCCCACTAAGATTTAAGACTCTCCAGGCACTTGATCTCTCGGGCTGGGTCTAGGCTTTAGGCTTTAGGCTTTAGGGTTTAGGGTTTAGGGTTTAGGGTTTAGGGTCTAGGGTCTAAGGTCTAAACCCATGCTAGAAAACTGTCGAACGTAAGCGGAGTGTTCGCGATATTCCTACTTGTTGGAGATTCAGGGTATACTTACAAGCCCCCTGAGTCCCCTAAGTCATCTAAGTAGGTTGTAGGTAGACTTATTTTTGGGGTGATAAGTACCCATATGAACCCCCTAAACCCTAAACCCTAAACACTGAACCCTAAACCCTAAACCCTAACCCACTTACAATTGGCGTGATAGGTACCCATGAGCCTCCAAGTAAGAGAATGCGTCGGAGGGGGGTCAGTCTATGCCCTGATGCTGCCAGTATCCCAAGTGCAGCAGCTATCCGCTGCCTCTTGAGTTCAAAGCCGCATAAAGAAATCCTGAAACCTAAACCTTAAGTTCACTCCCGCACCCGCCCCTCTGGGGTCGAGGTTCAATTTAAGGGGGGCTGCTTGTCAGGGCTTCTTCGAACCCTAAACCCTTAAACCAACCCCGAAACCCTACACCCCTAAACCCTAAACCCTAAACCCTAAACCTGGAGCCCAGAAGGGCTTACTTAGAGGTTCAGGGGTCGTAGGGTTCTAAGTAGCAGGGTAACTCTGGCTATAATTGGGGGGCGGGTTTACGATATTAGGGGTACCTAATTGGGGTCCTCAGACTAAGGGGATCCCACGATTTTAGGGTCTATCCTCGGGGTCCCTTATTTTCGCAAACCCCCCTAGAAAATTATGCAAGGTACTCATCACCCTACTTCCCGAAACCCGGGGCGTGTCGAAAGGCCCGCACGGGCCGTGGTCCCCGAAGACAACACGCCGGTAGCCGTGGGCTATGAGCCTGCTCGTTTCAGTTGAGGGGATCGGGTCATGTCTGAGGGCCCAAAGGGTTTAGGGTTTAGGGTTTAGGGTTTATAATAGGGTTTAGGGTTTAGGGTTTCGGGTCCGCAGCCACCTAGTTAAAAAAAAAAAAAGTACCCGCGCAGGTTCGGGCAGTAAAAAAAAAACTCAAACCCTAAAGCCTGAGACCGTGAAAGCCCCTGAGCCGGAACCCCGAATTATGGCGGGCGAATTACAACTTTTTGGCCACCATTGCGGGGCAGCATCCTTCATTAGTCCCGTGGTGGCGGGTCCTACGAATACAACGTCTCCACCCTGCGATATGAAGGCGAATCCATTTTTGAGGTCTTTGTTTGCAGAACACTTCTCGTTCACGCTACCAAGGCAAAGTTGGCCCTTGCAATCGTCTGACACATATAACCTTATATAACCCGAAACCCTAAAATTTGAGCCCGAAGCTCTAAGCCCTAAACCCTATAGTCTAACCCTAAAGCCTAAACTCAAGGCCTAGGCCCTAGCCCTACACTTGGGGCAGCGGCACTTAAGCCGCTTGACCTCCATGGCGCAATTTGACTCCCACAGCTCGGAGGTCGGTAGCACTCCCCCTCTCCTGGGACCTGCCTAACCCCCGACCTCCTGGAAACGATTTGGACTGCAGGCTCTGGACATATACCATCGGTAACGGAAGAGGCTTTTTGGAAGTAGGCAATTGACTTGAGTTTGGGCCTAAACCCTCATTAGAAGGAATAGGCTTAATGGGTTAGGGTTTGCCGCCCTGGACGGCGTGGGGTGGGAGAAATCGGGGCCCCTAACGACCCTAAACCCCAACCCGAAATATGGACCGTTGTCAAGCCTGAACAAGCGAAGGCGTTTGAGGGCCTGCTTGGAGCCGAGGCATCAAACAGCTCCTCAAGGCCACCTGCGTCCATGCTTACCCTTAGCGTTTAGGGTTTAGGGCTCAGAGCCCTTATAGAGCCATCGGTTCGTAACGATTCTAAGGTCTGTAACCTAAAGGCATCAATCTCCGGCTGGAACTGGCTTTAGGAGCTTTCGGCCGAAATCCTACCTAACCCTCAACCCTGAGCCCTAAACCCTAAACCATAAATCCAAAATCCTAAACCCTGAGCCCTAAACTTGCCCTAAACCCTAAACCCTAAACCCCTAAAACCCTAAAACCCTAAACCCTTAACCCCCAAACCCCTAAACCCCTAAGCCCTAAGATCCAATCTGACGGTACATTGCGGGCCCCATGCGAGGCCGAAGACCTCAAGACCCTCTAAACCCTGAACCACCAACTAAGAGCCCAAAAAGCCCCATCAAGCCTATGAACATGAACCCTACAGACCCTTCAAAAACAAGAAACAGTCCTAAACGCGATAAACCCTAAACCCTCAACCGCCTAAACCCCGTAAACCCCCTAAACCCCCTAAACCCCCTAAACCCTATAAACCCCTAAACCCTAAACCCTAACCCTAACCCCTAAACGAAACGCGAACAATCAACCTCAGGGTCGCCCTGGCCTGCTTCATTCAGACCCAGCTCGGCCTCCAAACGGTCCTGGTGTTGGTGGTGCTTGGGTTTTGGGTTCTGGGTTCTGGGTTTTGGGTTTAGGATTTAGGGTTTAGGGTCTGGGGTTGCAGGGTTTAGGGTTTCGGGTTTCGGGCTTGGGGTTTAGGGCTACTTGAGGTAAGATTTGTGGTTCTGGGTTTACGGGCTTTGGGGGTTTACGAGCTTTAGGGGCTTTAGGGGCTTTAGGGGCTTTAGGGGTCAGTGGTACTCTGGGCTTATAGGGTGTCCAAGGTGCCCCAAGGATCGGGTTGCTGGTCTAGAGGTGCAGTCTGCAGCCTAGAAGACTGGGGTTTAGGGCTTGAAGTAGAGGTTGTTGTTGAGGTTTCCTGTGAGTTGAAGACCTTTTAAGGGTTTATAATACGCAGGGTTTAGGGTTTAGGGGTTTAGCGTTTCGGGGTTCAGGGTTTACAAACTTATCAACTCCAAACCCGAACTCGGGTTGTGGAACTGAGGAGTTTCGGGTCTCAGGGTTTGGGCTTGAGCGCCTTCGCGGCTCGTAGGATGTTAGGGTTCGAGGGTGCCTGGGGTTGCAGTTGTGCTGGGAAGTG